TGTTCGCTGGGAGGATTTTATTAAAGAGAAAAATAAAACAAAGTGTGCGCACAGCGGAGATTCAACATTCACTCCTGCTGTAAACGAGCGAGGAAACTGTGGACAGATGAGAGAAAGTGAATTGGGAGCGTTTGGAGTCGCTTTTGTTGGACACTCTGCCCTCTGGCACCGCTGCTGCTAACAGCGGCTCTTTGTGCTGCAGGCTGCCGCTTTTTCCTTCAGGGAGAAAGGTAGGACCTCTGGAAAAACCTTCCTGCAGGTATTACACTAGATTATTATACATGCATTTCTCCAGCACCACAACACTTGATAGAAGCTGGTGCTCAGCCTCTCATCCGTGGACTTTTACGCACAGTGTGCTTAAGGACGCACTTTGCGCTACGCGTCTGGGTAGACTTTCACTATCATGAAATAAAAGACTGGTGACCAACTTATTTGCTGTTGGTCACCAGTCTGCTGCCCACAGCAGCATCACTCCAGCCTGCATGCTCTGCTTTGTTTTAACACCGATTCTCTTTGACGCTGAAAGTAAAATCGCGTTACATGCAAACCTTCCCTAGAAGCGCCGTCACATCTATCATGTCAGCTGTTTGAGTGTTTGTAGAGTCCTGGATTATTGAACTACTCTGTTTAGGGTTGACTCTTGGAGTGAGGACAGGAGGCAACCCACACCTCGCTGGCTCACTGCCACCCGGAGGACAGGAGACCCCTGTGAGTCACAGAATTAGACATGAGGCTAAACAGCGACAGAGAGTTAAAAACATCCTAAACTGATTTAAAAAAAAAAATACAAAGTTTCACCTGCTGACAAATGCATTTTATTTAAATATGAGTGGAGGGACACATAGTGATGAAGGCAATGAAGCTTTTGAAAAATGCAAATCCACAGATGGTTATCTCTCAGCATCAGCACAAGTGGACGCTAGTAAACACTGACAACAACAACTTAGGACTTTGAGGCAGGCCTCTTAAATTCAAAATTAGTTTAAGTGCCGGCAGTCCCCTTTCCACACTGCACGTGGAAAATCTCACATGACAGTGGACTGCAGTGTAAATCAACTAGAGAATCGATTACAGTGGAATAGCCTTATCTGATCAGTGTGATCGATGTGATTGACTGTCTCCTGTCAGCGTGAGAGAGAGAGATGAGGGGCTGGTTTTGTTCACATTCATGGCACAAAAATAGTTTCCAATCTGTGAGAAACATTTACTGTAAATGCTGACATTTTGGTTTTGCATTAAGTTTGTGTTTGTCTGCAGAGATAAAATATTCTACTTGAGCATGTGTCAGTATGCCTCCCATAGTCAAGGACATCCATGGAGGCTTGCACTCTCTAAACACACAGAGGTAACTGTGGGGCTGTTTTTCACTCAGTCCTGATGGTTTGTAACCACCACTCTCTCATGCTCCTTTTTCTGTTTGAGACAGTATTTGAAAAAACAAAACAAAACAAACCTTTGTCTCGATGAGAGGAATCATGCTCAAACTGCAGCAGCTCTGAAGATAATTTCTCATCGTGTCAACAGGGAATATGAGTTCTTAGGTCACAGTGATTTCCATTTTTATCCAGAAAGTTGGCAGAGCGCTCTGCCCAGCATGGTGCTGTGACAGGTAGTCCATACAGCCATGTCTCTCTCTAAGGAGGCACGAATGCCGTTTTATGCCCTGTGGACACAGCAGACAAAAACTATGCATAGCAACTCATTGCTAAACTCTTCACTTCATTTATGTGTTCCCTTTTACCTCTTTTACCTCATATACATTCAAAGGTTTTACATGAAAACTGAGGAGACATTTGACTTTTATTAGGATAAAAGTCCACACTTTTTAAGTAGAGATAGTGTCTCTCTCATGAATCCAAACCTGGAGCTGGTTCCACAGAGGAGGGGCCTGAAAGCTGAAGGCTCTGTTTAACTGTTTGTTCTAAAACATGGCCAGATTTCTAAATAATCAGGTCAGTGTATGTACAGTCAATTATATGCGAGCCACAAGCTCTAGGCCACGTCCACACGTGCATGGATATTTTTGAAAGCGGAGATTTTTCGTTTTAAAAAATCCCTTCCACAAGTAAAAGCAAAACCAGGTTTTCAAAAATCTCCAACCTGGCAGGAGTTTTCAAAAATACCCGGGTACGTGTGGACGTAGCTCTAGACCATCAGTTGGAGGTGGACATTTTTCTTTTTCAGTATCAGTATCAAGAGGCCAGTATCACTAATATCATCATCTCACACACATAGCTCTAGCTTTAAACACAGAACTAACTCCAACTTATTTTTTAAGTCTTCTGTTTATAAGGGGCAGTTAATCAGAAGAAAGCTGTCTTAAAAAGGAAGGAGTGAAACAGTTTGTCCGCTGTGAACCAGAAGCTCAGGATTCACAGTTTTCTTTCAACCTGTGTTTCTTCATTACGTCAGTGCAAGCAGATATCCTAATATGTTCCCTGAAAAGGCACACATCTCCAGCTGAGAACAAAGAAGCCCCACCCATCTGCTGTTTAAATATTTTGTTTGCTAGGAGCAGCCAATCAGAATAAACTTGTCTAACAAGGAGGGGGAAGGGAACTAAAACTGCTTGTTTTTGACAGTGAAGAGAGGGGGTGCACAGAGCCCGAGTATAAAACAAATGAGGGTTGTATTTAACTGTGAGTTATGCAAAACTCCATGAGTGGAGTCTAATAAGAATATGGAAGTTGAATATAACAGGTTCCCTTTTAAAGCTGTGGTTCTCATTTCTGCATTATTAAAATAATAACAGCTTCTACAAAGTAAATAAATCAGTGTGTCAGAGAAATATGGATATTTAAGTGTCAGAAATTTTCAGTGACCCTCTGTGGATGTCAGACAACTCCACATGAAGGTCCGATCTCCTAAAATTTAAACCTACTCATGCACCTTCTTGAAAATGTCCCTCTTGAGAAGTCCATGTTTGAATCACATGAAAGCCGTTAAGTAAAACCTGAAATCTCTAATGTGGAGATGTGATGCTTCAGGTCACGGCACAAACTGAGAGCATGAGGTAGCTTGTTATTAGATTAAGTGTCCGCTTTTTCTGCAGGCAATTTGGAAAGTACCCATGAGAAAACAACCCAGCTCTATCTGCATGAAAACAAAAACAGATTACAGGTCTGTAGATTCAGAGGAATGTCCTTACAATGATGCCAGATTTGCTTAGTTTAAAAAAAAAGTCTTGAGGTGTGCAGTTGAGGGATAAGAGAACAGGATGGGGTGCTGCTGAGTTGATGTTTTGGTTGCCATGACAACTGCTCCCCCTCCTGTCTTTTCTCACCGCTAGCCTCCCATTCATCCCCATTGTAGTAGCTAAGCCCCGTTGCCCCAGGAGACCACGGGGGACAGTTGGGGAATGTGGGCGAGAATGCAGATCGCAGATCGACCCACAACAAAACTCTACGGAAGGTTAAATATACCAAAATAAACAAAGCTCACTTTAAAAAGCAACAAAGTGCAGGTTCTTTATTTTTTTAAAAACTGCATGTTTCCAAGTTTTTCACGTATAAGACAGCAGGAATATTTTCAAGCGGCTGCCATGTTGGGCATCTGTTCCTGTGTGTCCTGCACACTGGAGACTTGCAGCCTAAGAATAGAAGGTGATGTGGTTGCCCTTCATTGGCTGAGAACACACTTGGAGCCAAATCACTCAGTTTGCTCATTTAAAAAAAAAAAAAGGCAGAATAATGGGCTCAGTTATGCTCTTCCATACACTTAGAGTGCCAACATTTCAACAAAGCTGTCTCTCTTCTTGTTGCCATTCCTCGGTATGTGTCCTTCTGAGACTGTTTTACTTCTGTCTCACATGACAAATTATCTTTTTCCTATCCCTCCTTCTCTTCATTCATCTCTCTGCCTCCTCCCCCTGTTCATTCTCCCTGTTCTCCCTCTCTCTTCTCTCTCAGCTTTCTTTCAAATGGTCTCCATGCCTTTTCCAAACACTCACCCTATCTATAATTAATCTCTCACTCTGTCTTCCTCCCCCATCTTTCCGTCTTCTCCCAAGGCTCCAAGATAGATTCCCTCAGGAGTAAAGTGGATCTGCTGCGCCTCCCTCTGGCCCTCTCTACCAAGTCCATCAGCAACTGCAAGAGCCAGTTGGGAGTGGTCTGGGACAAGGGCGGTTTGGGGACAGGAGTGGCCCGGAAACTCCGCCCACCGCCGATCACTGACATGGACAACGAGTCAACGTACTCGGGATACTCTTACAAGTCATCCCACTCGAGGAGTTCCCGCAAACACAGGTAGAAGAAGCAAGCTGAGGCTGTCTAGTGTTTGTGTTTGTGTCTGTCAACCGTTTTAAAATAGCAGAGCATTTCTGAAAGGCCAAGCTGAGGTCTTTAAATCTATATTCTAATGATCGATGAACTTTTCAGTCATATTACAGCTGGATGTCACAACTCTTACAGTAATAAACCAAATCTGTGATTAGGAGGTGAGCAGCGAAACTATCGCTATCAAGTACTGTGATCACATATCATCATGGTGCCTAACAACCACATGACAACAAGCGAAAATGACACTTCTGACATCTTAGAAAACCGCTGAATCATTTTAATTTCACAACAGTAACATCTAATTTGTATCCACAAAACTTTTAATATTAGACAAATATACGAAATACAGGTGTGATTTATCCACACCTCCGCTTTATTGTTGTTAAATCATGAATTAACTGTGATTAATTGCACTCGGGCTTTATTACTGCTAGACCTGTCAAATCAAGAAATCACAAAAGATCGCAAAAAGCAACACATCATACCATGACTTAAAGAAACGGCTGACAAACAGTCAGTTATGTCTAAGCCATTTCTAAGGCTTTGTGATTCCATGAACCGCAGCGAGAGCCATTATCCACAAATGCATAAAACTTTGAAAAGTGGCGAAGAGTGTCCTGCCTACCAAGATGACTCAAAGAGCACACTGACGACTCATCTAGGAGGTCGTAAAAGAACCTAGAACAACATGTAAAGAACTGCAGGCCTCACGTGTCTCAGATAAGGTCAGAGGTTATGATTCAACAATAAGAAAGAGACGGCAAAAGTGCCATCCGTGCAAGAGTTCAAGGAGAAAACCACTGCTGAGCAAGAAGAACACAAAGGCTCGTCTCACATTTACCAAAAAACATCTTTGACTCCCAAGACTTTTGGGGGGAAAAAGCTGAACTTTCTGGAAGATTTGAGTCCTGTTAGATCTGCATTAAACTGACACAGCATTTCAGAAAAACACCATCATACTAACAGTCAGACATGGTGGTGGTAGTGTGATGGTCTGGAGCTGTTCTGTTGCTTCAGGACATGAATTCTGCTCTCTACCAGATAATCTTGAAGGAGAATATCCAACCATCAGCTCATGCTCAAGAGTGGAACAAAACATCCTCCACATGTGAAAGGCTCAGTTTTTTTAAAGTTTTTTGGCACTGCCAGTTTTAGGGGCACTTGCATTTTAATGCAGGCTGTAGGTTTGGATAAGTGTTTTCCCCTTAATAATGAAATCATTGCCTAAAAACTCCAAAAGTTGATTCTGTTCATCTGGACGTAGCGTTTTCAGTGGGAGAACACGTCCAGAACACGTTGGATTTTGTTGAGTAGGTGAGAGATGTCATTATGGAGGCAGATGAAACCATGGTCTCGTACGACGTTACATCTCTCTTCACTTGCATCCCAGTCACGGAAGCGTTGGAGGTAGTCCGTAAGAGATTACAGGATGACCCCAACCTCAGCAACAGGACCACTGTCAGCATCGACCAAGTGTGTTTGCTTTTGGACCTGTGTCTTCATTCCACCTACTTCACATACAAGGGTCAGTTCTACAGGCAGAAACATGGGTGTGCCATGGGCTCCCCAGTTTCACCCATCGTGGCCAATTTGTACATGGAAGAAGT